CTCAGAGCTGCATAATATTGGTGAGATGGTCTAAAATAAGATGGAGAATGTGCCCTTGTATCATACCTGTCCCATGATGGATATGGATCTATATGAGCATAGGGAGGCATCCACGGCATTGGCATTGGCGGCCCAAAATAAGGATATGAATATGTTGCATTAAAATTCTCACTTTGCCAATACCGATCCTTATATTTGTGCCTTGGGGGTGATCTTGGTTTCTTTGCATGGTTGGGCCGATAAGCATTCTTATCTTCACTCTTCTTTTGATATTTATCCAATAGTTTAGTGAAGGTGATTTTTGATCTCTTACACTTGCACTTATTTCGGCCTTTGTTTTCTTTCGGTTTGCTTTCATTGATCATTGGATTTGCTTGCTGCACCCTAGTCCTTGGCGTCTCCATTGTAGCTTCGATGAAATTTTCGCTCTCAAGATTATGTTCATTATGCTCTTCAACAACTTGTTTACTTGAAAGCTTGATCCCATCACCTGCAGTTTTTACCTTCTCCTTAAATGGATCGTCTTGAAGCAGCCGATGCAAAAACTTTCTGCCATCGGGACCAATCGGAATAGACTGGTCATCTCTTGGTGTCTCAACAAATTTCAATCGTCCTTTATCAATGGCCGATTTAACTATTTGACGAAACATGTTACAATCCTCAAAATTATGCTTGGACGAATCATGCAACTTACAATACATTCGTCCCTGGACAGATGGCTCAACATGGTGATCAAGAGTTCTAATATAATTATTCCTCAACAACAAATCAAAGATTTGATCACACATGTTTGAATTAAAGGTAAACCTTTTATTTTCTAGCCGATCTTGCTGTGAGAATGGCTTTGGAATTAAGCAAACGAATGGTTCAGATTTTGCACCACACCATTCGGCTATGCATTATGTTTTGCACTCTATTTCCGATGTCTTTGGGTAAGATATTATACCAGCATCGGTTTTCTCAACAGAATTTAACCTTGGCTTTAAATTTCTAAAACGAAAATAGTTAGAACATACATGTCTCAATTGAGACCAAGTGCAAGCCAAGTATGAAATAAGCAAAGCTACCCAAATAGATATGAACTTTAGATAAATCAACAGGGAAAGCTTTGGCTGTAGTAATAAGTCACTATCGGTCTTTATAAATGGCGCAATGGGTTGACCGATATGTTCCATAACAATTTTATTGCTAACAAGTAAATTACCCTTCTTCATTGGTCTTTCAAAATTACTTAAGAGGATTTTTCTGATGGATGCATCAACAATAAAGTTTAGACCAAATCTGAAAATAGGTAAATTACTTGCTAAACATACCTCTTCAAATATGTTGGGAGAGCATGATAATGGTGTGGCTTGAACAATATCTTGCTTCGTCTTTGGGTGGCTCCCCAACGCCTCTTCATCATCTTTTTCTTTATTCCGTGAATCATTACCTTGAAGATCCTTATCAGTCGAACTTTGTTTGGCTACCTGCTCTTGTCCTTGAGGCTTGTCAATTTCTACGGCACGGAACTCATAGGGCAGGAAGTAGGTTCCATTAACTTCAGAAATATCAAGCATGGTTGTTTTGCTATGCTTGCCATGCCCTTTCTCAATAATGCTTGCCTCTTTGGATTTGATGGATTCGGAATATATGCTACTTGATTCGGCTTTTTCAACCGAAGCACTTTCAAGTTCCAAATCATCCTTCTTTTCATTGGTAATACCAATTGGCAAACCTTCTTTTATCTCAGCCAATTCTTTTTCTATTTGTTTCTGACGGCAAGCGGCAAAGTTGGCTTTATTCTTTTTCTCAATTTCAGCCCACTTTGGATACGATTGTCCCCCAATGCTTTTAGATTCTTTCGGCAATGGCACATGGGTGTTGCCGAAACTTTGCAATTGTGTAGGGGCTGTATAATATGATGTAGTATTAGGTGAAGGCATATGCATTGTTGTAAACCATATTTTTGCTCGCCAATTTTATCAATTGGCAAAGATTCATCTTCTTGCAAAACTCTAACTTTAATTGCGGCATAATCAGGAAATAGCCCATTTTCATGTTGTTCAAGGCAAAGAGCACTAATCCTCTTATTTTGGGCTAAACTCTTCAATGCAGCCACCACTACCTCATCTTCTACAATATTTGGCACAACCGCTCCCGTAAAATTTACATTTATTCGGCTATGATCAGAAAGGTGCGAAGCCGAATTATGAGCATCTACAGTTGTGTATGGTGCCGAAAAATTACTAACATGAGGTGTAGCGTATGATGGTTGAGAGTAAATGGCCGAATAGCCAGTAGTAGCATGGCCAATTCTCCCATCCATCGGCAATGTTGGATTCACATATTTCAAATTAGTTGCCGATGAATAAAAAGGTGAAACACTTTGTCGCATGATATTGGAAGTTCCTACAAGAGGTGTTTCAACTTGATTGCCCAAACTCATCATGTTATTCATCGGCATATAAATTTTTGGGGTTGCCGATGCATGGAAGTTGGGATATATATGTTGCATGCTGCTAAAATTATACGAAGTAGGGGTTTTTTCAAAAAAAAATTATATGAAGTAGAATCATGGAGATTTTGTTGCATCGGCCCTTGCATATAATTAGATATATGATTGATAAAGCTAGGGCTAGCCAATACATTATTCTCATTAGATGATCTAGCAACAACATATGCATTATTTGCATCTACATATGTGAATTGGGTATTCATATTATCTTTGTAGATTGCAAACCCTAGATGACGATCTCTTTGTAGCAAGAACGGGCTGGAGACCGTTCAAAGCTTCGTCCCCAGCGGAGTCGCCAAAAAGTGTGTTGACACATGAACACGTCACATGTACCCTCGACGCCGGGGATGATGCACTGCAGCTCACGTCGAAGGAGACCGACCGATAGCGCGATACGCAAGACAGTCAGCGGGCGCTTTTGAAGACCCGAAACCCCACACGCCCGGGAGGGACCCCGTCAGGGAGTGCGGCGGCTATGGGCTGCCCTAGGTCGATTCGCTCGCCCCTAGAGCCTCGTGGATCGCTGCCCTCCAATGCGAAGAACGAATGAATAACGAGAAAGAAAGATACAAGGGTAGGGGATAAAGATAGATGAACATAAAAGTGTAATAGATTGATTGGTTCGATTGGTGTTGTTCAATCGGCCGTCACCCCTTAGGTCTATAAGAGGCGGCTGGACTTCCCGTGCAAGGAAAAGGCTTGGATTCACGTCCAAAATACTAGTCAAATTCGGATTGGTTTTGTCCGAACTTTCCAAAACTGTTCGGTTTAAATTGGCTGCACCTTGCGGGTAATTTTTGAGGTGGTAAACGACTTCGGATGAAAATGAGCCTAAAAGCAATCTTGACCGTTTCGACAAGACGAACAATTTTCATGTTGAACGTTTTTTGATCAAAGGTCATCTTGAGGGTCAAATCGCTCGCGCAAAACACATGTTCCCTCGCGCTACCTATCAGACATGCGTCTGGTAGGGCGCGCCACATCTCGCCTCGTGACAGGGCTGCACTCTGATTGTTCTAACTTTCACATACGACCTCGGATTGGGACGATCTTTATATCAAAATCGATCGTTTTGACGAGACGCACAACTTTCGTGTAGAACATTTTTCCATCCGAGATCATATGAATAATCTTTTGAGCCCATCTTCAACTTCTCGTTTGATTGACTATCACAGCCTCCAACCCGGCAAGTTTTCCATCCGAGTAAGCTGTCCACACCGGCAATGTTTCTACCCGGCAAGCTTTCACACCGGCAAGGTTCCACTCCGGCAAGGTTTGTACTCCGGCAAGGGTTCCTCCCTGACAAGGTTTCTCCCCCGGCAAGATTTCACACCGGCAAGCTTCCACACCGGACGATCTTTCTGTGCCGGCAAGCTTTCCACGCCGGCAAGCCTTTACACCGGCAAGCTTTCACACCGGCAAGATTTTACCCCAGCAAGGTTTTTGCCCCGGCATGCTGCTTTATGATCGTGCCACTTTTGAGCGTCAACACGCCCTAAGGGTTGTATATATGGAGGAAGATGGGGGAAACTTCGTGACCCCTTGGAGCAGGGGTCCGAAACCAACCCTAACTCTTGTTTCCCCACACATACGGATTAAAAAAATAGCATATACTCAAGTATTCCAAAATTACATGGGTCTGGCCCAAAAAATAAGGTGACGCCACACCTATTATAAGCTATGGACTTTATTTATGACAATGCATCCTGTATATTTCGTCCATGTCCTTGTATGCCATCAAGGAGGCTTCAAAGTACTGAAATCTGCACTAGAAACGTCGTTCTCGTTCCCTTCGCGCGCGTCTTCATCTCCATGCTTGTTTCTTCTTCAGTGTTCATCCCTCTTGTCCATGCTAGGCCCTTCATTAGTAATCAAGACAAATGTATCTAATTTAGGCAGCATCATATTCTCATGAACATTAAAATTGTTACCAGGAAATGAAAGTACCTGGTAATTCAATTAGCATGCGCGAGCTCTAGTGATTGGTCCAGTGTGTATGACAGCAGGGGGTGTGGGTGTAACAATGATATTGATGTCCTCATCACTTGGTGAGACCATTGGATCAGATAATGTGCGTTGGTGCGAGGTCTCCTTGATGAAAAGATGGTTGTGGGTGTAGCGACAGGTAGCGAGGAAGGTGGCATTGAGTTGATGCGTGTATTTGCTTTATAAGACTTCATTAAATAATATAATAAAAATAGTTGTGTGGATCCTTGGATGCTTCGACCTCCTTTTCATAAAAAAGAAAAAGAAAAAAGTAATTATTAATCAATAGGTTTTACTGCACAATTGTGTAGCAATTCGTCAGAATATACGTGAGTAATTCTCAGAAATTTGGTTCTACACCAGCGGCAAATTTAGAGGTACTTGGGACAATAAAACTTGGCACACATATATCTTAGCCAGACGGTTTGACCGGAACAGTTGAGTACTGATAACACTGCCGACCACTTTCCAGTTTTATTGCAGTGTGTGTAGTCAAGCAAGAGCTCCTGCAGGTTTACTAGAACTGATGAGCCACATCGCCCGCGCCCGGTGGAGCAAGCTGCTGGTAGCCTAGGTTCAGCTGAAGCGAGGCCTGAGCATGAGCCTGAGCCTGAGCCTGTGCCTGCGCGTGCGCTTGCACCGCCGCCTCGAAGAGGTTGGCAGGGAAGAAGCACTTCATGTCCAGTGCGGTGAAAGGGTTCAGCTCCGGCGCCGCCGAGGGCCTGGCGATAGTCACCTGCTGCATCCGCTGCTCCTCCTCCGCAATCTGGTCACCAGACCATGTATAACGTGGACAGTAGTTATAGCTTAATTAATTTGGAACCATCGAAGTTGATTTATAGCTTCTGTACCTTGGTTCTGAGATCAATGTTGTCACTCTGAAGCTCTATCTCCTACAATGGTGATGAGAATATATGTATTAAAAAATGCAAGACGTATAATAAAGCCAAGATTGGTTAATTAGCTAAAGGAAGCCTGTAGAACAACCCATACAGTAGTATACATTACGTACCCTTTTGACCATGTAGTTGATCTCAGAAGATAGGAGCTCATTCTGAGACATGAACGCACAGAGAAGGATCAACATTTATAAGTAAATAATTTATGGATCTAGGAGTATAACAATGATATAAGAAACTCAAGAACTACTCATATTTATATGCCTTGTAAAAACACTACTGTACAATTTATTAGTGGACGCTATATACACTAGTACTATGTGAAGGTACGGTACTGCTGGATGCCAAACTTGATGAAAGAGTGCAAAATCGGTGGGAAGTTGATCAAAGTTTCAAATATACCTTCCTGGCCCTGATCTTCGCAATGCCTTTCTCAAGCCGGCTTTCGAGTTGCTTCAGCTCCTTGAGTGACAGGTTCCCAACAGAATCACCAACCAAGTGCCTTTATAGAAGATAAGAATTGGTTACACGATGGGGGGAAAATGTGTACATGCAAGCATGTGCAGTCTGATCTTACTTGTTAGTGCTTTGCAGCATCTGGATCTGGTGGCGCAGCCTTGCAGCTTCTTGCTGGTAGTATTGCTTCAGAAATAATAGATTATATCAAGAAAAACAAAGAGAGTGAGCTGTCTATCACATTCGCTAATTAATATCCACGTCATCCCATTCCAATTGAGTTAGAAAAACCAAGCTCCAGCCCATGATTTGGATGTTTTACCAGTGCTGTGGCTTTACTTACTGTTCTGTTTTCAGTTAGATGTGCTGATCCTAGACGATGTACCAGTAACTGCAAATGTACGTACGCGGGTATATATGCATGCTTACCTATATAGGAGTAGTATATACATTCAGAGACAGACAGACATGCACGCATGCACACACAGAAACATAATCATGTATAGGAATTGTAGACATGACTGCTATCTGATCCCCGTTAGGTACATATATGGATTTGCTTTGGTGGTTCGGTCCTAAAGATTTAAATCATGGCCATCTTTGATCCATGTGTGGCTCTCAAGTGTCAGTTCATTTCATGTATACTTACAAGCTGACGAATTTAGTGCAAGTAGCCACTGATCGATCTAGAGTCTAGACCCTTAGCTGGTTATCAAGAAAATTAATTTAATCACATGCATATGGATATGGTTCTAATGAGCTAATTACCTGAGCATTGACTTCTATGAGAGGTACCCCAGAGGTTGAGCCACAAGCATGTGCCTTCTTGTACCTGTCAATTGTAGCCTTGACACTGCAGTTGATAAACAAGGGAGGAGAGACAGGCAAGCACTCATCAATGACCTAGTTTGATGCATGTGTGCAACAGATGTGATAGTGTTCACAAGACATACAGAAAGAAAACACGAAGCCCTCAATATTTTCTTTCGGTTACTTAAGCATAAAGTTTGGCAAAAGAGTGTGTACATACATATATGCGCTCAAACGTGTACACAAGAAGGGAATGAAATGCAGAGAGGCATACATTGAACAGTATCGACGCAGCCTTTGCAACGAGGACTCGACAAGGAGCAAGCTGGCACAGCAAGCTAGGGGAAGACGCTCAGTTTCTTAGTTGGTGCAAGCTAGTTGTTGATGTGCATGCATGTCAATCGACGAGACTAACTGAGATAACACAATGACTAGCTTAGCTTCATGCATGCACGTATGGTTGGGGACTTGGGAGGATGACCAGGGACTGGGAAGCGATCGAGGAAGAGGAAACTCTAGGCAGGTAGGCAGCTAGCTTTAGGACGAGGTACGACCGTACGTTTACATGCAAGGTCCCTTCAGTTCTGGCTGTTGCCCGGCCGGACTGATATGATGTGCATGTGGAGAAATATTTATGTAATGACAAAACATGACATATATGCCTACGTACTTGTGTGTCTTTTGTGTCAAGTGCGTGTCAGTGAGAGAGCAGGAGAGTGCCAATGCATATTAATTATTATTTGGTACAGAGTGTGTATATATATGACAGACATTGGTAAATCTCACATTATATCTTTAATTAATTAGCACATTTTTTTGGCAGGGTATCTTTAGAACATGTCATTCAGTTTTTTAAAGGTTCCTACTTCCTTCTTTGTAGAGAATAAAAAATAAAAAATATCTGATCTATGTCACTTGGTTAACATGCATACAAAATAAATAAAATTGAGACATAAACAGCTAGCAGCATGCATGAATTTTGGTGACAAAATAGTAGTTTTTATAGGACAATATATAGAAATGCAGTAAGATCAAATCATGGTTGCATTTCTTTAGTGTACATAAACATCAAAATATGAGATCCCAATTTTTCATCTTTATCTAATTGCATGACATAAATTCAAAACAGGTGACTTAATGAATATAAGAGTTGAATTAAAAAACATGTGAGTTAATGGATATAAGAGTTCTCGCTATACAAGAAAATGTCTGCTGCACGTACGACACAAATACAGTGGCAGAAAGATTCTCTTGGTTTCGGTACTATTTTACGTAAAAAGGTGTATGCTAAAACTATGCATGGTATATACTATCAAACAAATCGTATTATATATTACCTAAATATTCTTATATACTGCATACTACGCATGCATACACTCCTATATGATAGATACTACCTAGAACGTATGAAACACACACGTCAGTATGTGTAATTACACCTGGTTGTAGGAAAGTGCTATCAAAGTGATTTTTTTTAAAACCACACAGGAGAATTGCGTGCCTTTTGTATTAATAAGGATAATGACTATATTCAATTACAAACTAGGCGGACACAAACGAACGTCTAGCGCCACCACAAAAAGAGGAAGGAACTATAATCTCCCAGTCCAACGTTCTCTTGCTAACTTCCAAAGTTTAAGTTTCACGCGTCCACACATTGACACTATCGATGACCTAAGGCGCCGGCGCGATCGACGGCCACCACTCGCGCACATTGTCCATGGGTGAGCTTAGATTGGGAAATCTAATTAACAAGGTTTTCTTAAGTTATCTAACATGGGTTGTTAAAAATAAAAGGCTTCTTGGCAAAATGAATGTTGAGTATATTACTACCCTAAATTGATTTTGGGTAGTACATTGGCCTATTTTGACCTCATATATATGTTAGTCAACTCTATATAATACTAATTAAATAACCATGGCCAGTCTAAAATTAAATAAACTACATATACCACCAAAACACGAATTTCTCTAAAATATTCCAAGACCTGAACGATCTGAAAACTACAGAAGCGACCAGCAGCCTTGTATTATACTTCTTACAAGAAAAAAAAAACAGCCGCTGCTATATAGTACGTCTTGCACAGAAGCAATCAGCGGCAAGACCTAAGCCTAGTTGAGCTGATCATGAAATGACATATATGTACCTAGAAATCAGGGAACACATGAATTCATCACCAAGCTTAGCTACATCTAGGCTGGAGCTGTAGACCTACACACAGACCTGTTGTTGGAGTACTCGTAGAGGCGGCCGCGGCTGGAGAAGACGATGAGCGCCACCTCAGCGTCGCACAGGACGGAGAGCTCGTAGGCCTTTTTGAGGAGCCCGTTCCGGCGCTTGCAGAAGGTCACCTGCCGGCTAGTCGTGTTCTCGATCCTCTTGATCTCAATCCTTCCCCTCCCCATCTCGACCTCTTCTTAGTCTCAGCCCGGAACTCTGCCAAATACGCAGATATCGAAGATTCAGCAAAAGTTTACACGAACGCAAATATATATATGCAAATGCTGTGATGGATCTAACAAAAAGGTAAAAGGAAGGCATATGAAAGGGATGAACAAGGAACAAGATAAGGGATCGATTGGCGGGCCTAGCTTGCAAAGAAAACTGGAAAACGGCCGGAGAAAAACAATTCCATGATTTGACTGATGGACGACCAAATTTGCAGATGAGTAAAAAGGGTGATTCGATCCCATGATTCGACGGATGCAAGTCCTTTTGTTTTGAGAAGAAATCATGGCAACATAAGATCTAGCAAAGGTAATAAAAGCTTTCTTTTTCTCGATCTGTCTCTCGAAATGAAATAACCCAAAGCAAGAAGTAGATCGCTTTAGAACCAGTTCGCAGCTGCTGGGCTGGGATGGAATTAACAGCTCCACGCAAAAGCAATTTATCTCTGCAGTTTCATTCCTCGAAGGGAAAAAGAAGAAAGTAAATCTTTTTATTTTTGGTTGAGAAGAAACTAAATCTGATAGCAAGATCGTCTTTGTATTCCCAAAACAAAGCAACCAAAAGTTGCTACGATCTCTCTTAACAAAGTACTGTGGCTGCTTAGAAGAAACATTGGCGCGTGTCTTGTAGCATGTTACCGTGCAAGATGAAAGATCTATCTAGCTAGCTAGGAAGAGATTGAACGCTGTACAAGTAAACCAACCAAGCCTTCCAAAACGAAACAACAAGATAGGCACCGGCGGCCGTGAACGAATCCAAAGTCTAGATGGCAAGAAAGAACGGGAGGGGAAATCATCCGTTCTAAGAAAAGAAAAGAAAAGCATCAAAGAAGAAGAGACGTACTAGCAGAAGAAGAGAAAGGGTGAGATGGATCGATTTCCTCAAAGAGACACAACATATAAACAAAGCAACAAGATCGATGTAAACTGCAGACATATACATGAGCAGCAGATCCTAACGAAATACGAGCATGGATACAAGGAGGGTAAACCTAGCTAGGCAGAAGAGAGCAGACGATCGACTAGGTATGGAGCTCTCTGATGCAGCTAGCTATAGCTGTCCTTCCTCCCTTTGGTTTATAATATAGGACCCAAGCCGAAGGCAGAAAAAGGAGGGGCTCCAGTTGGGTTTTCCTCCAGGAGGTAAAGTAAGAGACGAGTTGATAGGAGCCCAGGGAAGGCAGGGTATTAAAGGACGGCAAGATGCTGAGACCGCCACTTGCACTGTTGCACCGAAATGCATTTCTCGCTTGCCGGCCGAGGCCTTTCTTACCTTGCTTACCCGTTTATGGATGTTCCTTAATTTAGAGATCTCTCTTTATTAATATGGAATACTTTACTTGATCATGGATGTGTCCCCTCTCTTTTCTCTGTATGTACGTGTTGTCGAGCTATTTGGTCTAGAATTAATTGGCCGAATTAGTTATGTGCAAGTAATTAGTTAAGAAGACACGAACTAACTATGGGAGTATATATGCATGTGAAGTTGTCATGGAGAGTTCAATTGAAAATAACCTGTCGTCTTTGTTCAACACTTGTGTGCCCAGTCTTGGGAAGTGCAGTACGTGTATACTTAATTAGCTGCTAGTTCCATAATTCTGTTAGGTAACTAAATTAGGCCCCTATGATATATCCCATTATTGCATGTGAATTAGATTTGTTAATTTACATTAATTTGCTCCCAAGGATATACATACGTCTGAGAGAAAAAAAATTGCAATTAATTAGTCTGATAAATTAAATTTGACATGGGTGTGGACGACTCGGAATTAATAATTCTTCTGTTTTATGTTGGCAAGGAGGTACGTACAGGTTGCACAAAGGAGATGCATGCACAGAAAAACATACGCCGGCCCGTGCATATAACACTGTCTCCAGCCCTAACACAAAATAGCTCGCCAGTACGTACAACTCCTATATATTCAACTCACGCAACCGTCTGTCTATATGCTAGGCATCCATCATCTAGTTGTGTACATGGCGCAGTTCATAGTTCCAATTGCCTGCCACAGTTCACATGCAAGTTCCTACTCCAAGTGTACTTATTAGTATATCATCATATCATCCAAGTGTACCAGCTGTACATGTGACCATAGCAAGGCATGGCATGCATCTGTGTGAGTCACATGCATGTACTCCGGCGATCACTCGAGTCAATGCAATCGATACCAAATTCCAAACCCGGCCGGCCCTTGTTCTTTTCTCCCTCTCCCTTTCCGGTGCTAAGCATTGACTGCAGCTAACTGCATGCTATTGTTCACCCGCAAAAAAAAAAACTGCATGCTATTGTTTTTGATCGAGCTTTAATTTGAATAACCTGGCAATTTGCAGTTAATATTTTTTTAATATTTTGTAAGTATGGCCATCTCTCATCATAAAACTCTGATATTTAGTGAGAGAGAGAGAGACGACAACGCAGTGGGCGGTCAGGGGTCAATGTCGCGTTGCCGAGTTTAGGTGAGCAGGACCTGATCCTCACCGCGAGGCAGGTCGCCGGATTTGTGCTAAGCTAATAAACTTTTCTCACGCCAATATCTTCTTTCTACTTGATGGTTCATCGATGCACTGCACGGCATCACACACGTCACTCCCACTATGTACGTCCATGCATGTGAGGCTGGAGCCAGTGCAAAAGCAACGCTTATGTGCTGCACAGCTGCAAAATGAGTTAATTGCGCCAAAATACCAAATCGAGGGGTAGGTTTACACAAAACACGCACTTTCAAAATTTTAGCAGAAAACACTGTGTCTGTGGTAAACTTTTTACGTAAACAACGGATCCGTGGATTAGAGCGTTCTGAGCATGTTTATAACAAATGGGTTCCGCTTTATACCGACATGCTCTACAGAAAAAACACACGTCACCTAGTATCAAGACATAAGCCGAGTGTCAAGACATGGATGTTGAGTATATGTGTTATGTGCGTCTTTGTGTATCTGGCCCACCTTTTAATTCCTTATATAGTTAAGATCGTGGCCCACCGTTGTATCTCATATATACGCGCGATTGCATCCGATCAATACATCGTGCAATTCCATCATCATACATGGTATCCGTTTCTAGGTTCTAAGCTTAGCTTCCGCCCGTCGCCGCCGCGCTCCCACCCTTGCGCCGCTGCCGCCCCAGCTGACGCCGCCGCCGCGCTCCCACCCTAGCGCCGCCGCCACCGCGTCATCCCTCCGCTGCCGCCGCGTCATCCCCCCGCTGCTGCCGCGCCTTCCTCTTGGCACCGCCGCCGCCTCCCCTCTCGCCGCCGCCGTGATCCCTTGCCGCCGCCGCCCCTCCTGCCGCCATCGCCCCTCCTGCCGCGGTCGCCGCTTCCTCTCCCCGCCGCCGCAAGCCGCCGCCGCACCCTAACCCTAGCATTCCCACCATGTCTTCCGTCACCTCATCCGCCTCCAACCCATTCGCCGACGCCAACCCCCCACCCGATGTCGCCGACATCCGCAACCTCGACATCTATGAGCGGGTTTTGGTCCGCCTTGCTCAGACGGACTCCTCTTACTACTCATGGAAGACGTACTTCTCCCTCATGTTCCGGGAGTACAACCTCCTTGACCATGTGGACGGCTCCGTCGACTCCAGCCTCGTGCCTGCGCATCATGAGTGGTCCACCATCGACGCCACGCTCATCCGGTGGTTCTTCCTCACCATCTCGCCGGACCTGTTTCATACGGTCGCGCAGGACGGTGATGACGCCCTCGCCGTTTGGACCAAGTTGAACGGACTCTTCACCGACAATCGTCTCCAACGTCGCGTTTTTTGCAGCAAGAGTTTTTTGGGTGCCACCAAGACAACTCCTCCGTCGACGACGAATGTCGCTGTCTTAAGACTCTTGCTGACGAGCTCCGCGACATCGGCGTGAAGATAGATGATGATCTCCTCCTCAGCACACTCACCGCCGGCCTGAACGAGGACTTCGGCAACGCCGCGTCGAACCTCACGCTCATCCCGAGCCCTCCTTCGCCAAGTTCGTGGCCTATCTCCAGTTGGAGGAGCGTCGTATGAAGCAAGTCAATAATCGTGACATGCACACCGCCCTTGCCGCTGGCACCACTCGCGGCCGTCCTCCACCACCGCCCGCCGCTCCGCGCCTTATCAGCAGCAGCAATCATCGCTGCTGCCCCTGCCCCCCCCCATGGCACGCCCGCTCCACCCACCCCCTGTTGATCAATGCTGGGGTGGCTGGCGCGATGGCCAGCAGCAACAACAGCCGCCCACGGGCCCCCGCGTCACCAACAGCAGCAGCAGGCCCCTCCACCATGTGCCGGCGGGTACAACCCGTGGACCAACATTGTCCATGCGTACACCATGTCGGTCCCGCAGGCGCCGGACCTGACTCTTCCAGTGCCATGCCCTCAGGCACATCAGGCATACTACGCTACTCCGCAGCCATACGGAGGGTACCCACCGCCGCAGTTGAGTGGCGGCTACAGTTTCTCGATGGCATCTCCGTCACCTCCGTCGGCGCTGCCTCTGGCGCCTTGGGACCCGGTGCTTCCTGCCACGCTCCACACTGCTCCTTTACCGAACATCTACACCGGCGGTGGCGATTGGTACATGGACACTGGGGCTACTGCTCGCATCTTCCCTCATCCTGTTAATCTTGCCTCTTTCTCTCCCAGCACCACCACCCGCATCACTGTCGGTGACGATTCCACTGTTCCCATCACACATGTTGGGCACACTTCATTTCCTTCTAATTACATGCCTTTATCCTTGTCTAACATACTTGTTTCACCTCATATCATTAAAAATCTTATATCTGTTCGTTGTTTCACTCATGAAAATCCTGTTACTGTTGAATTTGACGAACTTGGTTTTTGTGTCAAGGATGCTCGAACCAGGATGGTACTTCACCACCACTCTGGTTGCTCTCACCGCTCGCGTCGATCTTCGGCTCGCTCGTCTGGGTCATCCCAACCCCGTCACTCTTTGTTATATTCTTAGGAGTTTC